CCGAGCCGTCGGAGGCGGTGTAGAGCGACTTCTTCCTTTAGAGAACGACTATCAGTATCCAGCATTCGACGACGAATTTCTTCATTGCTCACTCGATGTTCCCAGGAGGTAAGCTATAGTTCGTGCTAATCAACCGTGCCGTTTTGTGCTTTTTATTTTCACCAACACAAACCACAATTTACGTGATGGATTTTTGTAGTGAACAGAGAAGACAAAACATGTACTGAGAAGCTATGAAGCAATTTTTCCTTTTGGCTGGGAGTCATCAGCAACATGAATCCATCGAAACACCTGCGGATTGAATCCGACACCCTACTGGTAGAACGCGTCGATTTTTGCTAATGGCCGAACAGTTGTACAGCGTTTCTAAGGTATTCATATGGTTTTTCTAAAATCATTTTCTGGCGCGTTTAAATTTGTAATGGCAAATAGAAACTCGACTGGTCGTTTGAAATTGTTTTCACAATGTGACTGGGTCGATCGGGAGGAAATTGGCATCAAATATTTGATCGCGGTTTGACGGTTGTCTACGCCCAGTTTTAGAGGTGGGTGAACACCATGGTGTTAGCGTGAAAAGATTCGCTAAAGAAAACTGGTAGTGTCACTCTGGACATTCAGAAATAAAAGCCTGAGTCCGAGCCGACCGAGTCCAAATGGATATACATCGGATACCTATTTCCAAGTAGGAAACAAAAGCTTTTAAATGGATTTTCAAATATGTTCCCTATTTGTGACACATTAGCATGAAAACATAAAGATAATACAATGTGGAAGGATTATCGCTCGGGATGCGGATGTTGATGTGTGTTGTTGTGTTCTCCGAGGTGTAAGTGTTGTTCGAAACATCTGCGGACAACACTCCCAGTTCAGAGAACAGTACTCAAAGTCCCTTGTTTTCCCGCTACTCAACTGGATAGCATATTTATTTTTTGAAGAGTCCTATTCGGATAAAACACTTGTAAGCATTATCCTCGTTTAAAGATTTAGCTGAGGAAAATCATTTCAGCATTATCACACCGAAAATATTGGGAAGAGGTCAAGTGTCAAGCAATCCATTAAGCTCATGCTAACTATAGATAGACCACGTGAATGATCATGAGATCGATTGAGACGACGCACCCAGTGGTGTTCTCGGATAAGAGAGGAGCCTAAGTCGAGGCGGTCATAAATAGGGAAGTGGCGCTGAAGTAGTACTAGCTTTAGCAACAAATCACAGATCTGCTGATTACCGTTTTTTGAGTTTATTGTATACACTAAATGCGTATCTTATAGCCCGTGTGTATCAACACCAATTTTTAGCATACATTCCCGTCCAGTTCTTCGGATGGAAGGAATAGCCACTGAAGAAAAAACTAAAGTGACAATTCCAATGAGATTTGGATATGAATTATGGCACGATAGATCCAGTAATCGAATATATATATATGTGAGATTGGGCTAGGTTTTCAGTTAATGCTGTCTGTCTGTGTGAAGCGGAGTTTACCCTACAGCTTTAATCTGATTTTTCCAGATGATACATGAATCATCATACCAGCTATCAAAGGGAACACGTTTATTTTCTTTCCATTCTGATTATGCTGAAGTTAGCGATTCAACGCTCATTAACGGAATAGTTGCTAAGTTATTTTTATAGCTAAAAAGGAACTCTGAGCCGGTTAAGGTGAAGTATCAGATTAACGAATTTCAAAATAATTAGATTTAACATCCTTCAGATATTAACTTCATACACTGCATAGGTCATTGAATCAAACATATTCAGGTGTGGGCTGGTTGGTAAAGTGGTAACACCCAAGCTCATTACATGCGACGAATCTGGGGTTCAAACTCCAGACAGGATGGTTGGGAAATACAAATGGCGAGCTCTTATTAGCGCAAATCTGGAGTCTAGTGTTTCACGGCTTTATGATGGTTAAATGAATCGAGAAGTGTGTGTTTGCAGATGAGGTCTATGGAAAAATTAGTCTAAATTAAGCAGAGAATCATCATGAAGTTTCACGTTAAGTTCAAGTGGGACCTTCTGCTAGTCAGTGAGAATACGAATCAAACACAGCATTGCTGAGCTTACACGGGACACCAAGCAGCGGAATTTGGACCTGGTTGGTCTAGTAGAAAAGGCTTGTCGACACATCCGTGTTAGAGTGGATGGTGGCGGTCCCATACTTCTGTGATTAAAATGGTTCCGGAAATTAAAAAAAGTTAAGTCGGGAAGAAGAATAATGAACTTATTTTTATGTAGGCCAGGGAAAACCACCGAGGAACGGTAAAGCTTGATCGAAAAAAATGCACTGATAAAGAAAATAAAAATATCAGATTGCTTTACTGTCTCACCACGCATAGCTGGAAGAATAATCGACGCAGTTTTCAGTTTTATGTGCACCGTAGGACCACTGTGAATTACTCTCTATTATGACTTCTGTTTGTATTTGATGCTTTGGGTTTTGGTATTCGTTACTGAGGTGATGACCGAGGGTTCCAACAGTTAAGTAGGTGAGACTGAGAATTCATCAGAAGTATTTATAAGAGTTCCGATTAAAACCGGATCGATCTGAAAATGCATGTACGTGTGGTAAACTGCCGGAAAATGATGTCAGCGGACTGGCCTGAGATACCTTCGTTTATAGAACCACGTCATCAGTTTAATCGAAGATCTTGCCTGTGGAGAGAAGAGCGAAGTCACGGATGAATAGCGAAAATAAGTTCAGAGAAAGCATATTATCCGGAAGAACTCCCAAGTTATTGACGAACGGTTTCGAAAAGTTTCCGGTTAATTTTGTCATTTAGTTCTTTCACATAGAAAGCTTTCAACCACGAACAATGTGACGGAATAACCAAGATGGCTTTAACTTTCGAAGAAGAGGAAGTGCTTGTGGAATGGAGTCAAAAGCTGAAGATTGGTTGAGCCGGAAGCATTAAACAGAGTTTTGAGACTTACGTATCGAATATGTTAGTCAAAAGACAGCGTCTGAACTATTTATATCTGGTTTATTTTGAAAAAAGAAACGGGGCCACTGGGAAGATCGATGCCAAACCGTAAGTGGTTTCGAATGGCTTGCTGTAATAGTTTAGACCCAGATAGGTTAGGGATATTTGATCATATTTGTCCTAATGCGACATTAGACGGTACCGACTTAGGAATCGGAACAGTGAAAGAACGTCTCCGAGAATGGGTGATTGAACATGTTTACATAGATTTGTTAACAGGAAACGTGAAAATCTTTGTGAGAAGACCACCTCAAACACTTTCTCGTGGGAAAGGATTCAATGGTAAAGAGACAGTCTGCTAAGCACACAAGGTAAATAAATGCAGTATAGAGGTTGATCACTTCAGTTGGTTTCCATTGATCTATTTTTTTTGCTCACATAGCAGCTGGACCATTGTCCATAACCCACGTTCAATTCCATCCACTCGGATTTGTGTTGCTGTTGTGCCATACACTTCCGGAGTGAATGAGGAGACTTTTCATTGGACCGCACTAAATGAAAATGTCTTTTGAGTACCAGACAACTGATGATATGGAAACAACGGCGAAGCCGTTGCCAGGATATACTGATGGAGAATGACTGTGTCAGACAAAACTTTCGATTTTCATGCTCATGTGCTTCTTTTGTATGTCAACCAAAAGGAAATAACGTGTGAGTTCATTCATGGTTAGTGTTCAAAAGTTAAAAGTTAGTTTCTTTCAACAAGAGGAACATTAAAATAAGGAGTTGCTTGAGAAAAAGAGAGATCACTTCCACTTTTGAGCAGAAGAACCATGTAGAGAGCTGTACTAGGGAAAATCTATGTTGACGAGAAATACTTCCCCGATATTTAATACCTATACCGGATAGTCATGTAGAATTTAGGACTTACCATATCAGATGGATTTAATATTGGTTATTCCCCCGCCCCCGGGGTCTCCTTCCGGTATCTGCCAGTATTTCCCCGAAAACTCTCGAAACCGTGNCCGTTTTGCCAAACCGAAGAGCGAATGTTAGAACTGACCAATAAGGGAATATTTGTCTTCACAAGACCCATTACGTTAATTGCTTCGGCTAGAATATCCCAGTTTGCTAACTGAAAAGTATTAGTGCAATTTGTTGCCTGTATTCAACTTTTTGTCTACCGCGTAACAATGGATTTCTTCAAAAGAGCATAGGAAAACTTTTCTTGAACAGGTAGTTTCTAGCACTCACACCTCCATTCGATCCTGCGTCGTTGGAGGCAATTACTTTCCTTATGCTTGATGAAGATGGCTTTCGGCGATGCGCTATTCTCCAGCTGTCGNGAATGGAAGGTCAAAACTGAGAATAAATTGCATGGGATATGAGCGTTTCATTCACAAATGTCTCACGCGACGAAAGTTTCTTGATACTATCTCATGTAGCATCCATCACTCCATACGTTGGCTATATGCGTGACCATATATGCTACCCAGATCAGTAGACGAGTTCAATACAGCGACTAGACAAGACGTATTCACACAAAATTTCTTCTTCCCACTTGTATACGTTTTCGCGGACAAATGCAACAAAACAGGAATGTGCCGGAGCATTTTGTACACCATATCAATCCACTCTTGTCGATCCGTATGTATCAGTTGAACGGATCGATCTAACTTGAACTGGAGCGTTATGCGCACTGTTTACTTCGCGTTGACCATCCCACAAATCATAGTTCATCCCCTCACCCAACCGGAAGAACAGAAGTAGTAGAAAGGTGAGATTTATTTGACCCAATCAGGGCAGAAATAAAATTTTGAGATCACTGTGTATTGCACGCGTTCTCTGAGTCCGTTACCAAATCAATACCGAATTCCACCCGTGATGTACAGTGGCTTCCGCTTGATTCGGCCGAATCGCGGAACCCATTCGTGCAAATCCATTGCTTTCCATCTGGGAAGGTCATCATCAACTTCAAAGGCTTCCATGTCGGTCGGAATCTGCAAAACACGGGGTTTAGGGTTTCATACCGATAGGATTATCAGACGAGCGATTAAAGCCTCGATCGGTGACCTGCTGACCTGTCGATAACGATAGTCGGTTCCGATCTGTGATTACCATTATCATCACTATCATCAACAACACTATGGCCAAATGTGAATTCATTTCCAAATTAAAAGAAAACTGAAAAAAGAACTCTGGGAAAATAGCAAACGTGAAAATCAGAGGGTTAAGTGGTATAAGCAAAGTGCTTTTCGAGAAGATTCACAATCAGTGTAACGTGATAATAGGGTAAAAATTTGTCACTTGTTAGGTAGCTAGATCCAACGAATAGCTCTTTGAAATATGTGCTTTTTGATTCCCAGCTTTGGTTTTCCCACTTCTCACGATAAGTTCGAGAGGAATTTGGAGATTTTACTACCACTCAGTGATGAAAATAATGCAAAAACTGGTGTTCGGGAGGAAATTTGGTTGCGATATAACACATCAGGCGGTTACATATATATGGGGATAACAATAGCGATATCCTATTACGCTTCAGTTTATATGGCAGAGGCCTGGTAGGATATATCGAAAATAAATTTATTCGCGAACGCCTTTTTCTACATTGTCCATGGGAATATTAAATTATAAATGTCTATTGATATTAAAAGGCTGCCTGAGAATTGAAACTATGCAATAAATATCCGGGAAGTATATAACTGGAAGTTAATAGAAATGTTTTTATCTCTGAATACTTACCACTTGAGATTGACCAACGATCAGAAGAACCATTAGAAGCACTGAGATAGACAAGAGGGAAATTAAAAATAGGTCGATAGCTGGGGTGATGAAGTGTTGAAATTGACGACAATATTAAAAAATAAGAGGTAGTTTCTTGTCGGCAAGCATAGCTAGCTTAACGTTCACAAGTGATACGTAACATGATAGGTGAGTTCATAGTTTTGCACATCAGGACTTACTACAACTATCTATGAAATGCGATTGTTTTTTTTTAGAGAGAGAGAATAAATACAGATAAACTTCTACGTTTATAGTTGAGTTTATAATCCTTTTTTCGGAAAAACAGTTCAACTACACATCAATGGCCAATATTCCAGTTTCACATTCTTATATTATTAGTGAGAGAATCGGACCCATATCAACATCGATAAACCATGATATCGTTCACGAGCTTGGAAAGCAATACGTACTGTAGTTGCGTCTGAGATTCAAACCGATGGTTTTTTTCGACCATGAACACGAATCTGGTTCATCTGTGACGTCGCTCTCGCATACTATCTGTCTGGTCACTGTCACAATTACTGTACCGACAAACTACCATAAACATTTTCACTTGCTTCGCGGCAAACCCGATGCATAGCGGTATCTATTTTATCCCTGTTTGTTTCTGTCCCCGATTGGGACTTTGCGAGCACTTGTGTTGTGTATTAGTGTGTGTGACGGAGTGAGTGAGAGTTTGTGCGGGTCGGTAAAAGGGAGTTTGAACGAAATTCATTTCATTATCCTAATCGCATCCTAATGCATAGGCGCGATGGGCGACAAATAAAGCTATGGACAAAAACACCATGAAATAATTTGTTGGCATGTTTTTTTACTGAGCTGAAACATGCCGTTCTGTTGTTCAATCACAAGGATAAGTGACAGTGCAATGCCTCAGGCGAGAGTCCAATCACCTAATAGTTTCTTCGTCCACTTTTGGTTGAATCATTCCACTCGTTTATGGATTTCTTTGTGGCCAGTATAAATGTGGTGGGAGGTATGCACTAATCGACCAGCTATCCCGATGCTTGTGAAATGGAGGAGAGGATGAGAGGGTCGGAGTGGAGCGGAAAGAAGCGGCGAAAGAAGAACCTCGAGATAAGATTAACACACACACGATTTATGCACGGTACGCTCAGGTTTTGAGCTCCTTCAGAGCTTAGGCAGAACAAATTAAATTTTGATTTGTCGTACCTATTCCACTGATTTATTGCCATTTGAAGCATTACCCATTGATTCCGACATGCTAATCACTGTCCGTTCAAGAAATTTGACCAGTCCGGACCATAAATGGTCGGTCAAGAATAGCCGATACACCACAGTCGATCTATCCTATCCACTGTAAGTGTTATGGACGCAGTGCACATGGTTATCTTACCGCACAAATTTGTTTGACTGATAATTTCAAATCTGGATTTCATGCACCAGTCATCACCCCTAACGAAAACCACGACCAAAGCTGCATGAACGATATTCATTACGGTTAATTGAAAAATATTTTCGATAGGGTGTGGGAACTTCATTCTATCCATCTAGCTTAATATTTCACAAATAATGATAATCAATAAATAAAACAAAGGTTACGAAAGTAACGCGTCCTTTGGACTCATGGATGCTCTTACAAAACCAGGAACAATTTCAATGAACAAAGTATATTTAACTTAGCGCTCAATAGGCAAACAGCTATGGGGCTAGAGTAACATTAAATACAAATCCTACATTGTTTCACCAGTTGGAAATGGGGGAGTAAAAGGACCGGTGTTGTTTGCAATCCAATGGAAATCATATACATTACATTGATTGTGTCACTTGGAGAGTTCAGTCACCTCCTCCCTCTATGATTCTCATAACTGTTCTCATTCATAGGCCAGTCGTCATTTCGCCAGGGGAACGGATATTTATAACCGATATCTAACCTGTCGGCGAACGAGCAAATGGTAAGAGCACTCCTCTTGATTGCATCCTGGACCGGTATCCAAGCTACCCGAACTGCCTATTGCAACGAGACAAATTATCAATAGAACGCAGTTCGAAGGAATTCACCTAATGGTTTCATGATAATACCGCAATCAGTTTTGCCCCAGTCCTGAAGAATCATACTGAAATCTCGTGAATCGAGGCAAACTGTTCTAATTCATTCCATGTCCGTGATCCTGCAGGGTCAGTAAGTGAGCAAAGTATCTGTTTCGGTGTGGTTCGACATGCATCGTAAGGATATTCTTTCAGCAAGAATAAAACTATGCGACCTGAATAAATCAGCAGACTCAAGTTTCCGATATAAAACTTAATTTACGTTGTGAAAGGTTAGAATGCACAAACCGTTCTGTTTACAGATCAATAATCAAAAATGAATTCTGATTACACTCTCAATGTTCGTTGGCATAAAACGGTAAATTATATAGGAACTGGGCTTGCCTGACTGATTATGAACAAATCACCTGATAACGCTCTGACTGGGCAAACTATAATGATATCATACAAACAATTTTGACTGTTTTGATCTAGCCCGTAATAGACAAGGGTTCGGTCCCGAAAAACGAGACGGTGCAGGGGGGGGGGACTATGGTCGATTTTATAGCTAAAACAACCTGGCTAAATCAATTACACCAACAAATTAGTGAACGCAGTAACTTTTCGTCATGAAAATATTATTCAACGAAACATATTGCACACACTACTCACATGAAAGCATACCTCCTATCCGTCGCATTTTTTGCTGCTGTTAGTTGTTTTGCAATGGTTCAGACAAAATAGTCATCATATTTATATGGTCGACTGTTTTCCTCGGATGATGTTCATGCCTCTGATTGGTCCAATTGCCCTCTAAGCTCAAATGCGACTATCGGCGGCTCAACTGTGACCATTGGAATGTTTTCTCCGTCGGTGCACATGTGAGTTCGTATAGCGCGCGCGCGAACAGCAGCGCGACAGTGGGCCCGAGATGTGATTGGCCATATAGGACAAATAAGGAATGAACTGCAATCAACACGGGCGGATTCTGATAGTTTTACATGGGGGTGCTCGCTATATGACCTCGTGATTACTGACCTATGAAGTGAGGAGAGTAATAAAAGAAAAAAATCATACAACTTTTCTGATTCCCCTACGCTTTTGTTTGGCGGCGAAATGAAAAACGTCTTACGAAATGGGATGCGTGCTTTATTTGGAATTATTCATTATTGCACGGAGGTCATATTGAAATTGACGATAAACTTTATTACCGCAGTCAGACCACGTTCCTTTCAGGAGCTGCAATCCGAGAGTTCGCGGGGTGTACGGATTGTCTTGTGCAATGACATCCACTTCGATAAGTCTTAAAATACTGATAAACATTCGGAAGAATTTTAAAAAATGGTACATTATCGGAATTCAACTGAATGGATCAAACATTTATGCAAATAATCTCTTTTCGAAATTTTCCTCGAGTTTTTTACCTATTTACGAAACGCATGATAATCATTACTGATGAGAAAAACTGAACCAGGTTGAAGGTTTCCAAACATGTAACTGGTTCTTCCAATATTGGATTCGTTCAACAATTGACAGCCTAGTTCCAATGAATGATAATTCCCGCCCAAAGGTGACGAATTTTCACTATTAGGTAACAGTGATCGGAGAGGATGACGGTTACAGTCTGTTGTTAGTTTCTAGATGTAGATCAAAAAGCTGTTCTATGGAACTATTTCAATCAATAAGGAAGAATTTCATGAAACTCGGTAACTGCATCATAATTATATAGGAGAATGTGCCAAAAGGTACCAGTATTCAAAGCGTAACGGGAAGACGAGATGCGGCCAGTTTGTAGGTTCGGTAAATTCCTTGTGAAATGCGAAGCAATTTGCAGACCAAATGAGATACGTTTTGAAGCACAATGCCACCGAAACTTACTGTACGACTAAAGCTGTTAGTTTGAGTTGGTATAAATCAAACTCAATGCCTCAAAATTTTTCCATCAAATTTTCCGCTTTACTTCCACAGTTGTGTACAGACATTCCTGTAAAAATGTTATTTAAATAACACTTTACTCACTGAGAACATTTGACAGGACTAAAGCATTTCGAAGGTCACCAGTTACATTGGACTAGACACCGATAGGGGTAGGAGAACACAATTATGGCTAAGAAACCTGGTGGCAGCCCAACCGTGGCAGGGTACAGTAAAACATTTTCGGAGAACTAACGTGAATGACCATTCGAGCAGTGGACGGCATTATGCAATTATACAGTATCCGATGTACCGAAATCAAATCTGTCTGAATTTGGCGATGCTGAGTGGAGTACAACCCGGATGATCCTAGTCTTACCAAATATGTGTTGGAATGCAGTTCCTTAACCATCTTGGTGGCTATTCTTTATGGACGTTCCAAAAGCGTATTGCCGCATTGTAGTCAAGGCTTCCTCGTTCGAATGGCTTGTTCAGTGTGGAATCAAACATAGGTTGGTTAGACAAATGGGAACAAAGTAGAATCAGACTGTCCAAAGACTCGCTTCACAAAGCGACATGTCTGAGAGTTGCAGACGATGCACTGAGGCTGCTGATCGAACATTAGGTCTTCTTGAACTGAGCTGGAGAAAAATTTCGAGGAGATTCAGCGCTTAAATTTTCGGGCCATGTTCCAAGATCCTGATAGACAATGGGCTCTCAGTTCTCCCGATGAATTTGCTGCCGCAAATGCAATAAAAACGGTAAATACTCAAGGGTTTGTCCAGAAGGCATTCCAAAATAACTTATCTACAGTACTGGCCGATTGTGATGCACTAAAATATTTTCTTTATGATTAGATTGCGTTTCGTTATATTTATCACTTATATTAATACTTTAGTCTTTGACAATATTTTATATCTTGTCTACTTCGTTCTACGTAGTTTCGATTAGACCTGTACTTTTATGGAGAATAGTTAGTGTAGGGTTGTGTAGTATATCCTTGAAAAACTTGCTTTAACTGACGTTGTGTTAATTTCTTATTCTGATAGCTTTGAAGGTTAGTTTGATGATAACGCTCATTTTTGTATATCGCATCTCCTGGCTTTAGCCGCTATCGCAGTAGCACACTTGATGATGAACTTCCATGAATATCTGTTATCTTGAAAAGTACAGCATAACAGCTCATTATCACTTTCATTTTTTCTGTAGAACAAATCCTCTGTGACTTGGAAATTAAAACCTTTTCTGGAGTTCGTCTATACTGTGTCTAACAGAACTTTCCGTATCTCAGATACTGTTCCGTTCGAGTTGCTTTGTGGGAGGAAGATCTGATGAGAGATCCATCTTCCTTCTTCGTGATTTCAACATACATGGATTGAAATGTTGTCGTTGATTCCTGTCTGATATAAGTTCCGATTGAAGTAGAGCTGTACATATTTTGTACCCACAAGCATTAGCAACTTGAGATGGTGGGATATTATATTAAAATTGCTAGCTTACAAACGCGCGCGACATCCGAGGTTTCCCCAAGAAGAACAGATAAATTCGTTATGTTCTGTAATGATGCATACCCTTGCTTTTATGATGTAGAAAATGACGTAAATGCACAGTTATTCCCCTTTACTAGTCGGCTTATGTCATCATAGTAAACTTCCAGTTGTCTTAAACGCGCGAGGTTTATCGACGGAACGGATTTCCTTGAAAAAATTGGGTATTGTGTCCATGACAGTGAATGAAAATTTTCCTAATTGAACCGAAAAAATAATCGTCCTGGAAGGTCTTTATAAAGTTAGTGATAGTCAGTTCTAAAATATCGATGTGTGTCACCCTCTGTTTGTTACTGTCGGACCAAAACGAGCTAAGTGCCTATCACTGAAACTGATACCGGAAAAATCTGAATTAGTGAGTGTGAGTGGTTCCAATGTAGGCTGGTTGGCACGGTTGAACCACTGAAAATTTTCATGGGGAGGGCTTGGAATACAAATATTTAACAGGTCCTCTGATATAGATTACCCATGGGCAATAACGAGTGTGAAAATCAAGTCTTGCACTTCTCCACTATAAGGATGACTATGAGATCTTAGGATTGTGCAGCGAAGAAATATTGTGAAGGATGGTTAGTCAAAGTAATAACACTGCCAACAGTATTCACAAATAACTGTAAATTAGACGCCAATTTTGAAGTGACTATAAAAGGGGCTTTGTGTCTGCGTGTGAATCTGTGTGTATGTATGTAGGCATGTGTGGTTGTAGTTTGCGTGACATGTGGCTGAGTGAAATGAACTCATCAGTTGACTTTTAGGTCCAATTCTGTGACTTGATCATTTTTCATTTGGGATTTGGACCGGGCTAGTTTGTGTGAATCATTGGACAATTCATTCATTGATCGATGGACTTGGATCCGAAATACGTCAACTGTCAGATGTTTATTGGGTTTGTGTTGACGAAGTCAGAAATGTCCTCCTTCGCGCAAGCACGAGAATGTTTGAGCCCAACTAGATTTGAATGGATAGTGCTGGTACTTTCGAATGTGATCAGTTCGAACGCTGAATTCACTCCATTGCATTTGGCGAGGTGTTTAGGAAAGGTTAAACTTGAGGTATATCCGTCCGAAGGTTCTTGGTCCTAATACATACAATTTTGTTTTAAGTAGTAGAAGTGTGTAAAAGGATGCAACTGGCGGTTTATCCTGGAGCGAAGTGTATTTGAAACTGTAACTATAGACAATGCATGTATAATGACGTACAGTTCTATCAAACATACTACCTGTTAGTGGAAACTCTGACTGGTGTGTTTCGGATGAGACCTTTTGTTCTATTTATTCCAATTTATCGATATTCTTATCGTTGTTCCTAAAAAAGACTCCTCTAGACGCGGCACTGGCTTTGAGGGATTGCAACACCTGCGGAATAGCAGAAAACCATGTGCGATAAACAAAAGTCCCCTATCCTCATACGCTCCAGTTTCGAACAGCTCAAATAAATTTAGAGGAGCATTGCTCATGAAGATGACAATACCAGAAACAGTATCAGGTATCATTTCTATCCAAAGCATTATTCTGAACATTGGTATATCTTACAGAGCAGAATATAAATGTCTTTGTGGCTTTGCATGTGTATCGCATACTGTTAAACTTTCACTCTAATTTTAAACCGGGTAAAGGTTTACCCCGGGTACGTTTTATCAGACTGAATGCACGTTTCGTCAAATATTAAGACAAACGATAAAGTTCTGATAGGTAACACTTAGAGTCTAAAAAGGGTAAACTAATTACCGGATGATCACGTTTGATGGCGGGATGGATAAAGAGAGCTGGGCATCTATTATGTGAAATGTTTGCAAATAAACCGGAAATCATTTTCTAAAGTTGCGCTTAAAACCATGCTTATCATCGTTCTTTCCAGACGTTAGATGACGAGGTCACCTTAGTGGCATACTTTAAAAGGAAGTTGGACATGCGTAAATCATTTTCGGATTGATCGGTATGCTCGACGGTCCCCAATGTGCCCTGCATAGTTTCTTCCAAGTGATTAGAAAACAAGCAAGGGTAAGGACAAGCTGGTTTTCCCTAGGTTGAAGTAAAAGTAGTAGTTATCGCTCAACATAATTCATCTTATTCTACTTACCACGTCGGAGAGAATAAGTGACGAACTGCGTCACTACGGTTCGGCCTTTTCCCAGGTCATTGTCGGGGCAGGTCCTAAATCTTGTCGATATCATGTTAATCAAAGGTTTTCAATACATATTGTTTTAGAGCCTGCGTACATAATGGGAAATAATTTGACGGATGCTTAGAGGAGTTCACACACGGACACACTTCATGGAGATTGATGTGTAAGTGCTAAAAAACAGAAATAAAAGTGACGATTTTGCGTCTGCTTAAAGTATCAATTTCCTTTCAAATATGTAAAATATGAATCAGAAATTCAACTCGGATGTAATTAACCACGAGTAGTGAATTCCAATTTTTTGCGCGGCAGTAAAATAAGATGATTTGCGAATAAAATTGTAACTGTTTAGCACAGGTGAGAATAATCTCAATAGAGGTATTGAGACATCAGAATGGAAAGCCGAGTAACACTTTTCCCGGACTATTGATACAAAAATCGAAAAAGTCGATTCAGCCACCTTCCGGAGATTCAGATCCGACTTCAACTAATAGGACCACAATCGTTATTTCTTTACTTACGCGTGTGTCGAGGGGACAAAACATTCCTTAGTCCATCTCCGGTTTATCGTGGTTTGTACACAAATTTCCCCTGAAAGTGCGATTCCCAGTGTATGAAAACACACCATAGATTATGCATGTCACCACTTTGGTCCTATTTGGTTAGTAATAGCTACCCATTTAATGCAACACGTCAAACTCTGTTCACCTGATAAATCTGTGCAGGGCTATTTTCCAAGCG